TGACCGGCCTTAAGACTCAGACGTTACTGTTTGAGCGCTTGATGATGTTGCATAATGTGCTCGTTCAGTCAAAAAATGTACTTTTTTCACATTTAAGCTTGAAAATAGGCCATCGGAGGCCAAAAACAGCCATGAGACGGCCCGGGAAACACCTCAAACACATCGGGAGGGACCAACGTAAGTTGTGAAAACTTACAGAACTAGCACGGGACTCCCGGTTTGAAAATTAAGTCGAAAAATGCACTTTTTTCATACTTAAGCTTGAAAATAGGCCATCGGCGGCCAAAATCGTGCAACAGCCATGAGACTGCCTGGGGAAGACCTCAACCACCTCGTAAGGGACTAATTTAAGTTTTGAAAACTTACGGAACTAGCACAGGACTCCCGATTTGAAAACTAAGTCCAAAAATGTACTATTTTACACTTAAGCTTAAAAATAGGCCATCAGAGGCCAAAATCATGTAGCAGTCACGAGAGGGCCTAGAAAACACCTTGGGAGGGACCAACGTAAGTTGTGAAAACTTATGGAACTAGAACGGGACTCCCGGTTTGAAAACTAAGTCGAAAAATGCACTTTTTTCACAATTAAACTTGAAAATAGGCCAATGAAGGCCAAAATCGTGCAACAGCCACGAGATGGCCCAAGTAAAACCTCAAACACTTCGGGAGGGACCAACGTAAGTTGTGGATACTTATGAAACTAGCATGGGACTCACGGTTTGAAAACTAAGTCGAAAAATGCACTTTTTTATACTTAAGCTTAAAAATAGGCCATCGGAGGCCAAAATCGTGCAACAGTCACGAGACAACTTGGGAACACCACAAACACCTCGAGAAAGACCAATGTAAGTTTTGGAAACTTACAGAACTAGCATGAGACTCTCGGTTTGAAAACTAAGTCCAAAAAGGTACTTTTTCACACTTAAGCTTGAAAATAGGCCATCATAGGCCAAAATCGTTAACAGCCATGAGACGGCCTGGGGAGCACCTCAAACACCTCGGGATGGACCAATGTAAGTTGTGAAAAATTACGAAACTAGCACGGGACTCCCGGTTTGAAAACTAAGTCCAAAAATGAACTTTTTCACACTTAAGCTTGAAAATAGGCCAACGGAGGACAAAATCATGTCGCAGTCATGAGAAGGCCCAGGCAACACCACAACCACCTTGGGAGGGACCAACGTAGGTTATGGAAACTTATGAAACCAGCATGGGACTCCCAGTTTGAAAACTAAGTTGAAAAATGTACTTTTTTCACACTTAAGCTTGAAAATAGGCCATCGAAGGCCAAAATTGTGCAACAGCCACAACACGGCCCGGACAACACCTCAAAACACCTCGGAAGGGACCAACATAAGTTTTGGAAACTTAAGGAACTAGCACGAGACTTCTGATTTGAAAACTAAGTCGAAAAATGAATTTTTTTCACACTTAAGCTTGAAAATAGGCCATCGAAGGCCAAAATCGTGCAACAGCCACAAGACGGCTCAGGGAACACCTCAAACACCTCGGGAGGGACCAATTTAAGTTGTGGTAACTTACGGAACTAGCACGGGACTTCTGGTTTGAAAACTAAGTCCAAAAATATACTTTTTTATACTTAAACTTGAAAATAGGCCATCGGAGACCAAAATCGTGTAACAGTCACGAGAAGGCTCGATAAATACCTCAAACACCTTGGGAGGGACCAATGTAAGTTGTGGAAACTTACGGAACTAGAACAGGACTCCCAATTTGAAAACTAAGTCGAAAAATGCACTTTTCTCACACTTAAGTTTGAAAATAGGCCATCGGGGGTCAAAATCGTGTAACAGTCATGAGAAGGCTCGAAAAACACCTCAAACACCTCGGGAGGGAGCAATATAAGTTGTGGAAACTTACGAAACTAGCACGGAACTCCTGGTTTCAAAACTAAGTCGAAAAATACACTTTTTTCACACTTAAGTTTGAAAATAGGCCATCGGGGGTCAAAATTGTGTAACAGCCATGAGAAAGCCTGAGAAATACCTCAAACACCTCGGGAGAGATCAATGTAAGTTGTGGAAACTTATGAAACTAGCACAGGACTCCAGATTTGAAAACTAAGTCAAAAAATGCACTTTTTTTACACTTAAGCTTGACAATAGACCATATAGGGCTAAAATCATGTAACAGTCATGAGAAGGCCCAAGAACACCTCAAACACCTTGAAAGAGACAAATGTAAGTTTTCAAAACTTACGAAACTAGCATGGGACTCCCGGTTCAAAAACTAAGTCAAAAAATGCACTTTTCTCACACTTAAGTTTGAAAATAGACCATCGGGGGCCAAAATCGTGTAACAGTCACAAGAAGGCTTGGGCAACACCTTAAACACATCAGGAGGGACCAACGTAAGTTTTGAAATCTTACGGAACTAGCACGGGACTTCCGATTTGAAAACTAAGTCGAAAAAGGTACTTTTTTCACACTTAAGCTTGAAAATAGTCCATCGGGCGCCAAAATCATGCAACACTCGCGAGACGGCCCATGGAACACTTCAAACATCTTGGGAGGGACCAATTTAAGTTGTGAAAATTTACAGAACTAGCACGGGACTCCCGATTTGAAAACTAAGTCCAAAAATACACTTTTTCACTCTTAAGCTTAAACATAGGCCATCGGAGGCCAAAATCGTGTAACAGCCATGAGACGGCTTAGGGAACACCTCAAACACCTCGGGAGGAACCAATGTAAGTTGTGGAAACTTACAGAACTTGCATGGGACTCCCGATTTGAAAACTAAGTCCAAAAATACACTTTTTCACACTTCAACTTGAAAATAGGCCATCGGAGGCCAAAATCGTGTAACAGTCACAAGAAGACACGAGAAACGCCTCAAACACCTCGGAAAGGACCAACGTAAGTTGTGAAAACTTACAGAACTAGTACGGGACTTCCAGTTTTAAAACTAAGTCAAAAAAGACACTTTTTTCACACTTAAGCTTGAAAATAGGCCATCGGTGGCCAAAATCGTGCGATATCCATGAGACGGCCTGGTCAACACCTCAAACATCTCGAGAGGGACCAACGTAAGTTGTGGAAACTTACGAAACTAGCACGAGACTCCTGATTTGAAAACTAAGTCGAAAAATACACTTTTTTCACACTTAAGCTTGAAAATAGGCCATCGATGCCAAAATCGTGCAACTGCCATGAGACGGCCCAGGAACACCTCAAACACCTTGGGAGGGACCAATCTAAGTTGTGAAAATTTACGGAACTAGCACGAGACTCCTGGTTTGAAAACTAAGTCCAAAAATACACTTTTTCACACTTAAGCTTGAAAATAGGCCATCAGATGCCAAAATCGTGAAACAGCCACTAGATGGCCCGGGGAACACCTCAAACACCTCGGGAGGGACCAATGTAACTTGTGGAAACTTACGGAATTAGCACGGGACTCCCGATTTGAAAACTAAGGCCAAAAATACATGTTAAATTGTATATTTAATTATTAAGATAATAATTGTCTAACTTGCATTCTTTTTTTCTTTTTTCTTTTTGTGTTTCATTTTTTTGCAGATTTGAGATTAGCTATGGACGTGTTTGGTAATTTGTAGAGTAGAAGCTAGCTTATTTTTTGTTTTTGTTCATATTACCTTACATGTATTTTGGTTGCGTTGTAAATTTTATATTTTTGTTGGTATTACAGGACATGTTTGGTAATCCGCACTTGATATTATATTTTTTTAGATATTAGTAGACATGTTTTTTGTGGATATTAGGAGACGTGTTTGGTAATCCGCATACGGTTGATATTGTATTTTTGTGAATATTAGTTGACATGTTTTTTTGTGGATATTAGGAGACATGTTTGATAATCCGCATGCAGTTGATTTTGTATTTTTGTGGATAGTGCTGAAATTCGATTGTGGTGTTTATTAAAATGAACAAATTTTTGTATTGATTTGTAATAAATATTTTATTGAACAGGTTATTGAAATGCGTAGGGAATCTTTAGTGAAAAGAAAAATTTTAATTTGAAAACAGTACCCTATTTTCAAAAAAAATTAATTATTATTAGCGACGAAATAAAAAATGTTGCGAAAAGAAAAATTTTAATTTGAAAATAGTACCCCATTTTAAAAAATTTGAATTATTATTAGCGACAAGATTAAAAAATGTCACTATTAGTTTTCAAAAAACATGACAAATAATTTTATCACTAATGATATGGTACCAAACAAATAACTTCGTTACATTTGCTGAATATTTCGTCGCTAAATTGAAATATTTGGTGACAAAATGTTTTTTGTCATTGAAGAATTTTCTTTTCTACTCATTTTAGTGACGAATTTTTTTGTCATCTTAATTTATATCATTAGTGAGGAAAACTTTCGTCACTAAAATCTATTTGGTGACGAAATATTTCGCCGCCAAAAGCAATTAAAATAAAATATTATCTAAATTTAGTGACGAAATTGATGTTGTAGAGGACCAAAAATGCAACATTTGGAGACGAAAGATTTCGTCGCCAAAAATGAAAAATAGGTGATGAAACTATTTTTTATCACTAAGTACTTTCAGCGACAACGTATAGGCGACAAACGTGGTAACAAAATTTTTTCGTCACAGATCACTTTAGTGATGAAAATTTGATGTTTGGAGACAAAATCAGTCTCTCACCAAAGGCCTTTTTTGTTGTAGTGATTGAACCACATAACACATAACCCTTTTAATACATGTTTAGATTAGTTTTTTTTTATTTTTTTATTTTTAGACATATTGGTTTATTTTATCGAGTTTTTACGAAACCTTTCAACAAACATCAAAAACTATAAAAAAACAAAAAAAATTGAGAAAGTTTTGAGCCTAGGCGAGCTAGGTGCACATTTAGGCACCATTTGGGTGTTGACTTTATGATTAAAATAATTAAAAAGTCAAAATATACAATCATATCATTCCGTTGTTGAGTTTTTTATTTGTTTATTTGTTGTCCATTCCTACGTTAATGTTTGCTTGACTTGTAGGGTTCAAAAGATGGACAAGAGTTGGATGATGATAAAAGATAGGTTGAAAAGTAAAGAGTATCAACAAGGTGTTAAATCATTTATTGACTTTGCTATGAAGGATTTAGGCCCACACGGTGATATTCGTTGTCCGTGTGTCGATTGCTTGAATGGCACAAAACATAGTCGACAAGTTGTATGGCTACACTTGATTCAAAGAGGAATTGCGTATTCTTATAGAACTTGGGTGCACCACGAGGAACATGTTCCATTGTGTCATGATCAGCCTAGTATGCCAAACATTGATGGCGAAAGATATGGAGCTACAATTTTTGACATTAAAAATAATTTGGGCGAGTTGCCTACTATGTTGGAAGAGATTTACATGCGTGGCCTTATGGATGATCATATCGATGAAGAACCTAATAGCTCAGAGAGAGAAAATTTGGTAAAGCTCATTAGGTTGTTTGATAATACTAGATGCAAAATGTACCCAGAGTGTGAAAAGTTTTCTATATTGTCCTTCGTTATTAAGATGCTTCATAGTAAGGCATATAACAAATGGAGCAACAAATCTTTTGATATGGTTATGCAAGTTTTCAAAGACATTCTCCCAAAGTGTGATGAAACTGTTCGATGGACCTTTTATGAAGCGAAAAAGTTCTTACGTGAATTGGGTTTAGGATACGAGGCCATTCATGCATGCAAGAATGATTGTATTTTGTTTTGGAAGGACAATGCCAAACTGGAGAATTGCCCTACATGTCTGGAGTCTAGATACAAGTTCAACAATCAGAGTGGTAAAAAGATTCCTCACAAAATATTGAGGTACTTTCCTTTAACACCAAGGTTGAAGAGATTGTACATGTTGAAAAAAACCGCCGCAAATATAAGATGGCACAAAGAGAAGCGTGTGGATGATGGAATGTTAAAGTATCCAGCCGATGGCCAGGCATGGAAGGACTTTGATATGCAGCATCCTACATTTTATGTGGAACCCCGGCATGTAAGGTTAAGGATTGCCACAGATGGTTTCAATCCGTTTGGAAATATGAGTACATTGTACAGCATGTGGCCCGTACTGTTAATGCCTTACAATCTTTCTCCATGGAAGTGTATAAAAGAACCATTTTTGATGATGTCAATGCTTATTCCCGGTCCATCTGCCCCTGGAAGAGACATCGATATTTATTTGCAACCATTAGTGAATGAGTTAATGAATTTGTGGGAACATGGTGTGCAAACATATGATGCCTCAAACGGTCAAATATTTAAAATGCATGCAGCAGTCATGTGGACCATTAATGACTTCCCTGCATATGGTACCATATCTGGTTAGACTACAAAAGGTTAATTGGCTTGCCCTAATTGTAATATGGATGCATCATCTCAGTATTTGCGAAGTAAGATAGAGTATATGGGTGCTCGCTGCCACTTGCCCGAAACTATATTTGGCAAAGAAGTAAGCTCTTTAATGGTCAAAATGAGCATCAGTCCAAACCTGTGGAGTTATCGGGAGAACAAATACTGCAACAAATTGATTCAGGGACATACAGGCCGTATGGCAAGCATCCGAATAACCGAAAAATACAACGGAATGAAAATCCACCTTCCAATTAGAAAAAAAGAAGTATTATGCTCGACCTACCATATTGGAAAACGCTAAAGCTTTGACACAACCTTGATGTCATGCACATAGAGAAGAATATATGTGACAATCTGGTTGGGACACTACTGAGCATTAATGGCAAGAACAAGGATACAGATAAAGCACGCTTGGATCTAGAAAACATGCAAATACGAAAGAAGTTACACTTGAAGAGGCGTTCCAATGGCTCATTCGAGAAGCCTCCGGCATCATACACACTGTCCTCGGTAGAGAGACAAGGTTTTTGTGATTTCTTGAAATCGATTAAGTACCCTGATGGTTATGCAGCAAATATATCTAACTGTATCACCTCTCATGGTGGAAAATTAGCTAGCTTCAAAACTCATGACTGTCATGTCCTTCTACAACGACTAGGAATCGCAACGGGCCGAGGCGGGGCCGGGGATCACCTTCTCCCTCCCCGATCCCCGATGGTGAAATTTTCCCCATCCCCGGTCCCGATCCCCGACGGGAAACCTGTCACCGTCCCCATCCCCGTCCCTAAATCCCCAATCCAAACAAACAAAAAAAAAAAAAAAAAACCCTATTACAGCAGATCAACAACACCATCAAACAATAGATCAACTCAACAACAGATCAACAACATCATACATAAAAAACAAATCATCTATACTTACACAACAAATCAACAAAACCATCTTACACAACAAATCAAAAAAATAAAAAATACAGAGATGGTAAGATCTGAGAAATACAACTCAAAAAGATAAATCACACAGATGATGTTGGCAACGAAGGGAAAGGCAACGCCGTGACGTTGACGGCAGAGATGGTGTCACCGTGATCGGCGAGGTCAAACAAATCGGCGAGGTCCGACAGATCAGCGAGGTCAGACAAATGGTGTCGCCGTGATGTTCTTGAGGCGGGAGATCGGCGAGGTCGGCGAGATCAAAAAAGGGAGAGGACAGCGGATGAGCCGCCGCCGTCGACGCCGTGAGGAACACTTGCAGCAGAGAAAGAGAGATGGAGAGGGGTAGAGGCTGAGAGGAGAGGAAAAGTGAGTGTGAGTGTGAGTGAGTAGGAGAGAGAGAGAGGAGACTTAACTCAACGCTAGACATATATATATATATATGCACGGGAAATTCAGAGAATATTCGGGGAATTAGTCGGGGTTTATCCGGGGCGGGGCCGGGGCCGGACCGGGCCAGGGGAAACCTATCTCCATCCCCGGCCCGAAAACCGTTGGGGATTTAATTTCTAATACCATCCTTGGCCCTATGGGGATAATTTTCGGGGAAAACCCGCTCTTGTCGGGGTTGGGGAATCGGGTCCCCGTCGGGCCGGGTTCAAATTGCCATCTCTAACAACGACTATTTCCAATTAGGATGCGTAGATACCTTTCCAAGGAGATTGGGACCACACTTTTTGAGTTGGGAAATTTTTTCAAACAGTTGTGCTCAAAGACATTGAGGGTGACTGATTTGGAGAAAACGGAAGAACAAAATGTACTTATACTTTGCAAGCTTGGGAATATTTTTCCTCCTGCGTTTTTTGATGTCACGTTCCACTTGGCAATTCATTTGCCTCACAAGGCTATGCTTGGAGAGCCTGTGCAATATCGATGGATGTATCTCATTGAGAGGTAACACCACGAGTTCCCGAACATCACTATTTACATATTAGATAATGTAAACATTAACATTCAAATCATATTACCATGTAGGATGCTCAGATTTCTGAAAGGATTTGTTCGCAATAAAGCTCGACTAGAAGGTTCCATTGCGGAGGCTTATATTCCAAATTTGGTTTCTGACTTTTTAATTGTAACACATTTAATCCTAAATTTTGAATCATATTCCAAATAAGGACAATTGAAGATACCATTTCTTAATTTTAAGGGTAAAATCATCAATTTGATAAAATATGAATTAATTTGATAAAAATAATTGTCAAAAAAATATTTTTGAATTTTTAAAAATTATTTGTAGCAACTAAAGATAAAATTATGTAAAATTGATAAATATTTTAAACATTTATTTATTTACCAAATTAATTTTTATTATGTGTTTGGATGATAATCATATAATGGGTGATTATTTTTATTTTCATTAAATTAGTTTTTATTTTTTTTCAAAAGTCAAATATGGAGAAAATTTTGATATCATTATTAAATCAATTCATTAAATCAAAAAAAATATATAAAAGTAAAAACATTTCATATATTAAATATATTGATTACACATTAAAATCCTAACAATCACCTATTACATGATTATCATCCAAACACAAAATAAAAATTAATTTGGTAGGCAGAAATAATTTTTTAAATTTCAAAAATATTTTTTAGACATTTTAATTAATGTATATTTTATCAAATTGATGATTTTGCCCTTAAAATTAGGCAATGATATCTTTAATTGTCCTTATTTAGAACAAAATTCAAAATTTAGGATCAAATATATTACAACTGAAAAGTCATGAACCGAAGTGACTCGAGTCCCAAACTATAGGGACTATTAGTGTAATTCGCCCATTTGTTTTATTAAATAAAAAATTATGACAATGTGATATTTGTAATCTTTCAAGCTACATAGAGCAATTTGTATTTAATATATGAAATTTTTTTAATTTTGGATTTTTAGATTTAATGGATTAGTTTAATAATGATATCAAAGTTATCGCCATATTTGAATTTTGAAAAAATAAAAATTAATTTAATGAAAATAAAACAACCACCCATCATATGATTATCATCTAAATACATAATAAAAATTAATTTGGTAAAATAAATAAATAAACATCTAAAAAATTTATCAGTTTTACATAATTTTATCATTAGTGGATATAAATAGTTTTTTAAAATTCAAAAATATTTTTCTGACATTTATTTTTGTCAAATTAGTTTATGGTTTATCAAATTGACAATTTTCCTGTTGCAATTAAGCAATGGTATCTTCAATTATCTTTGTTTGAAATAAGATTTAAAATTCATGACCAAATGTGTCACAATTGAAAAGTCATGAATCAAAGTGATACAAGTTCCAAACTATAGAGATTGTTAGTGTAATTCGTCTCAAAAAAAATTAATAATAATAATAATACTCCATTCATCCCAAAATAATAGTCTCTTTTTACACTTTAAAAATATTAATGTTTTAAAATTAACTTTGATAGTAAATTTTTTGAGAATATCAATTGTCATAATTGTACTTTTTGTGTTATTAATGAATTTTAAAAAATGACAAAATGAGAAATTTATATTATTTTCATTCTTAATTTTTGAAAAAAGACTGATATTTTAAGAGAATAAAATATAAAATAAGAAACTAATATTTTGAAACAGAATGAATAATAATAAAAATAAATGAACAAATTTGAATCCCACATCTGACAAATGCAATCTAATCCAGTAAGAAAAATACAATAAGCCTCCGTTTGGGAAGTGGGTTGACTTTTTGGCTTTTTAACTTTTTTTGCTATTTTAGCCTGGGGCTAAAAAACCTGGTTTGGGAAGGACTTTTTGATTTTTTTGACTTTTTGGCTTTTTAGTGAGGTGTCTTCATGGTGAATGACCAAACTGCCCTTGAAGTGATTTTTTATATTTTTACTCCTTGCCATACATCCTCCACGTCAGCGTCATTGGTGCGGATTTTTATTTTTTTTTTGGGGGGAGGAGGGGGATTAGGCGTATTTTTATGGTTATTTACTTATTTATTTATTTATGTTTTTGTCATTTTTCTTTTTGTATACACTAATTTGTTCTTTTTCTTTAATTTACGTTTTTGTCTTATTTATTTTTATTGGTATAAAATAATTTGTTTTTATTTTTTAAAAATGAGTTTCCATGTGTTTTATTTATTTGTAAATTACGTGGCAAATGGTAATTTCTGTTTTTATTTTTTTTATTTTTTTTTTGGATGAGGCATATTTTTCTGGTTCTTTTTTTTTTTAATTTACGTTTTTGTCATTTTTATTTTTATTTGTATACATTAATTTGTTTTTATTTTTCAAAAATGATTTTTCATGTGTTTTATTTATTTTTAAATTACGTGGCAAATGCTAATTTCTATTTTTAATTTTTTTTTGGATGAGGCGTATTTTTTATGTTCTTTTTTTTTTTACTTTACGTTTTTCTCATTTTTATTTTTATTTGTATACATTAATTTGTTTTTATTTTTCAAAAATAGTTTTCATGTGTTTTATTTATTTTTAAATTACGTGGCAACTGCTAATTTCTGTTTTAAAATTTATTTATTTATTTTTTTTGGTTGAATGAGGCGTATTTTTGTGATTCTTTTTTTTTCATTTATGTTTTTGTCAATTTTTTTTTTATTGTTTTCAATTTGATTTTTTTTTTTTTTTTTTTGGGTTTGGAAAAAGCTTTTTTATGTTTTGTTTTTTTTAACATGATGTTGAAAATGTAAATTTGGGTGTCATGTTGTTGTCTTCTTATATATATATATATATATTAATTTGTTTTTTTTATTTTGGAAAAGGCTTTTTCATTTTTTTTTTAAAATGACGTGGAAACTACTAATTTCGGTTTCATTTTATTGACTTTTTATTTTGTTTATTTTTTTGTTTTTTTGAAAAGGTTTTTTCTTGTTTTTTAATTTTAAATGACGTTGACAATGCTTATTTCAGTTTCATTTTAGGGCAAATTACATATACACCCCTCGAGGTTTGGCTAAATTACAAATACCCCCCTGAGGTTTGAGAAATTACGAATTCCCCCCTGTATGTTTTTTTTTTTTCAAATGACCTGAAAAATGATAATTTCGGTTTTTTTTTGTTTTAATTTGTTTTTTGTTTTTGGAAAAGGATTTTTTATGTTTTTTTAAATGACGTGGAAAATGCTAATTTTTGGATGAGGCGTATTTTTGTAGTTCTTTTTTTTCCATTTACGTTTTTCTCATTTTTTTATATTTGTATACATCAATTTGTTTTTATTTTTCAAAAATGGGTTTTCATGTTTTTTTTTTTTTTAAATTACATGGCAATTGCTAATTTCTGTTTTTATTTTATTTTATTTTTTTTGTGGATGAGGCGTATTTTTGTTGTTCTTTTTTTTTTAATTTATGTTTTTGTCATTTTTATTTTTATTTGTATACATTAATTTGTTTTTATTTGTGATTTTTCATGTGGGGGTAATTTGATAAATTTACTTTGAAGTGAGTTGTTGCCAATCAATTGCAGTAGCTTTTATCTCCATTTGGCTGCTTTAGCCTCTTTTATCCTGTAATGACTAAAATAAACCCAAAATGCATTCTCAAACGGTACCTAATCTACTAAAATTTCTGTGAAAGGTCTCGCATCAAAATGAGGTCCACACTGACACGAAAGCTTTCATAAAAATTTTGATTGATTATTGAGGATCCCGAGCATAACTCGTCCAGTAAACGTCCACATCACACGTGAGGTGACACTTTCCTCTCTATTCCCACCAACTACCTAATTTAATCACTACTCATCCATGAAAAAATAAAGAAATTGATTAAAAAACTATCCATAGCCATCACCGTCCCAGACACCTCCTCTTCACCACCACACAAAAGAATGAATTCCCACATCCTTTCATGGCTTCCAATCCTCCTTTCATTCATAATACTCTCCTTGTTCCTTCAATTTCCGCTATCTTCGAGTATTAACCCCGACCAATCTCTGTACCGGGACTGTGGTAGTACTTTCAATTGTGGCTCCATCACCGGACTGGATTATCCTTTCCGCGGAGAAGATGAACCAGAATACTGTGGTTATCCGGGTTTTGTTCTCAATTGTCAAAACAATATTGCCACCTTTTACATCAACCACCTTAAATTCCGGGTTTTGAGTATCGATCAAGCTGCCCAAACTATGAGGATTGCCAGAGAGGATGTGATTGAAGCAACCTGCCCACAGGATTTAGTTAACACCACCCTGGATGATACGCCATTCGAATACGTTTCCAGTGGTTACAGAAACCTTAGTTTTCTCTATGGTTGCCCGGCTCCAGTTGGACTAATTCTGGGTATAATCAAGTTAGTTACCTGTAACATTTCTGGGTATAACAGTGTGTATTTATTGCCTGAAACTCCGATCCCTCTTGGCTGTGACGTTAGCGTCACCGTTCCGGTTGATGATTGGGTGGGGTCTTTAATTCCACAGGAGTGGGAACAAGCTATCCAGGGAGGGTTTAAGGTTAGATGGAAGGTGGATAGCAGAGTATGCATGGACTGTTCCGGGTCCCAGGGACGGTGTGGATATAATCTTGCTACCAAACAAAGCACTTGCTACTGCCCCGACCCGCCTTACGTGTCGGATACCTGCTCCACGACTGCCGGAGCCGGACTGAGGTCTACGCCGACCCTGGGTATGTTAAATCTTCTTTTCTTCCATTCAAATTTCTCTAGGCAGGGCAGTCCCATGATTTTTTTATTTTCATGTGGCCTGTGTGGTGTGAGAGAAGTAACTAAATTTTTATTTTATCTGAAAATTGAGATTTCAATTTTGTAGTTAGCTGTTACCATCATCTTTTGATGTGACTGAATTGGAACCTTCATTTTTAGCCTTCCAAAATGTGAATTAATTTCTATCATGAAAATGAGATTCATCATGGTGTGAATCCCAAATTTTATCCCTTTCAAAGACATGGAATTCTGTGTCCTCACATTATTCTTTAACCTGTTTTAAGGTATTTTTGAATTTTTTTATATAAATCAATAATTAAAAATATATTAAAATAAGATAACAAAATTTAAGTTGAGAAGATTAGCCTCTTTCTGGTGCATTACATGGGGTTTTTATGAGGCCCGGGGCAGCGGACCCATCCGTGCCCACTCCTATATTCAACTGTCATTAGTTTGGTAATTATTTTAAAGTTTTAGATCACCATATATATATAAACATTATTTATATGATATTTTAAGGCCAGGTTTGGCAAGTCCCAAAAAATCTAAAAAGTCAAAAAGTTACACAAAAATTAAAAAAGTCATTACTATTAACAAATAAAAAATATTAAAAAAATATTTTATATATTTTTGTAATACAAAAGTTTTAATTACACTATCAACCATACTGCCCCAGCATGAAGGCAGGTCATACACTTTTTGGGCAAAAAAAAAATTACACCACAAAGTTTGATGGTAATGTTGGACCCTTGGGGGCCCACTAAGTGTTCCGTTTTGATAATCCGAACCGTTAATATGTACAACTTGTCGAGTACTATATATTTTTTAAAAATCGCGTTGATCGGATATCATTAATTATATGATCAAATCAGTTTTGTATAAACAAAACGGATTGTGTGATAGTTAACTGTTGAAAAAAAACTAATCCGATCATATAACTATCGATATCTGATCAACGTGATTTTTTGTAAGTATATAACACTCGACGAGTTGTACATATTAAACGGTTCAGATTATTAAAATGAGACTCGTGGTGACCCCCACAGACTGACCATCACTGTCCAAACACTTTGCCCCGAATGAGGCAATAATTTGCTATGACACCCTGCCCCAGCAGGGCAGCCGTATAATCTATTCAACTTTTTTCCCTATACACTTTATTTATACAATTTTTTATTACATATTTTTCATAAAAAAATAAAAAGTTAATCCAAATATTCATATTTTTTTTCTCAACTTTATAGTCTAAAAAGATAAAAAGTACCCTTATTTAAGATATTTCACGCAACCCCTTGACATAGTAAAAAATTTTATAAATGAAATAAGTTGACTTACCTTTAACTTAGAAGATAAATGATAATTTGTTTAATATATGTATTATAATTTTTTATTAATTATAAATATCATGTAAATAATGTCAAAAAACTTTCGGAACATCTAATAATTATTTACTGTATTTGTAAATAATGTCAAAAAACTTTCGGAACATCTAATAATTATTTACTGTATTTATTTATTTTGGAGAAAACCATTACCCGGCTATAGGAATGATGTCGTTCTTAATTAATTAGTATATTTTTTTATCAATGCATTTTGCTCAATTTGCACATTCGAGGGTTGGTGAAGTCACCACCACAACCACGAGCTTTTTTTTTGTTTTTTTTTTTTGGATCAGCTCAACCACAAGCTTGTGGCCCATAGTTGGATAAGGTTTTGGGATTCGATTGAATTTACTTTTCAGTTTGAGTGATTAACATGCTTTCGTCAAGAGCGAAAATTAGTGGAGGTGTGCGTTAAGTAACCCAGACACCTATGAAAAACTTTAAAAAAAAAAAAATCTCTATCACTTGGATGTGCAATCACCATCCTGGCACCTAAAAAACAACATTTATTCACATTTTAATTATTCAAAAATTTATGAAATAAATGAGAAAAACCCAATAATATTATGATCTATTTTTAATCAACTGCAAAATTACTTAAGTTCGAAAAATATAAAATAGAGTTGTTAGATTTTTGTAATTGACAATCCTGTTTGACAAAACTCTTTTCAGTTGTAATTTTATTCGCTCTTTTGTTTTAGTGAGGCTGTGAGTGTTTAGATACAAATCCAATCCGAATTTTGCTTGTGTAGAAGAGTTTGTGTTGACATTTCACATGTTGAGCATTCTTTGTTTGCCACTTCGCTGATTATGTATGGGTTTGTACGCTCAAGCAGTGAAGTGGAACTTCCAGTATTTCAGCATGCATTCAAAACTTTTAGAAAACTTACTTTACCGCTCAAGCGGTAAAGTGTGCGCTCGAACAGTTGGCCTATATATTTTGCACCGCCTTTACTCACATCACTCGAGCGGTCAATTGATGGCTTCAGCGGTCAACGCGATTCTGTTTAGTATAAAATGCGTCATCTGCTGCTTTTAGAGTCTAACCCGTCTAGGTTCTCAGAGAGGAGAAAACTAGAAAGTGTTCTACGAGAGTGTTTTAAATGAGTTTCCTTGATGTATAGAAGATGATCGATTGGTCAACGAATTACAAAGAGTAAAATATCCAAGGTTGATTTTGTTCTTTTATTTACATAAAGAGAGAGGTGTTCTTCAGTAGATTTCGGAGACTTTGGGCCTAAAGTTTTAGTGGATTCCGAAGTGGTTCATCATTGTGAATTCGACATTAGCGTTGTAAATTCAATGTTGGGCAAAACAGTTCGAGATGAAGACGGTGGTGGAAGAGGCACGTTAGGTTTGGTTTAATTCAGGCGTGAATTTGCTAGGTAATTAAGGAAACTTATGTGTAATTTTTTATTTTTTTTTTGTCTTCTTAATAAAGTGTTTTGTGATTTTAGCCTGTAATTTTTTATCACAATTAGAAGTACTTCAATTGTGATTTTTTTTCATATTAAATTGTCATACTAATTTATTGTTAATTGTTTGATTATGATTGATATTCATTATTTAAAATTAAAATATAATCACAAATTAATATCACAAGAATATTTAGATTTTTCATGATTGAAATTCAAAATATTTGAGTTTGTAATTCAATCCAAAGTTTATTTCGTATCCACGTCAGCCTGTTCAGACCATTGGTTGTCCCCCGACACAAAAATCGTCTTTTGCATACCACTAGGATTTCACCTAATATATGATTTTTTTGATTCACTTAAAACTCACAAAGAAAGGGGCCCCAATATGCTTGTTTCCCATCGTATAGTGTTTGTACTTTTTACTGGATTTTATTCATCCTTTGTCTTGTTCACAATGCCATTTTACGTCCTCGATCTAGCTAGTGTTTTGTATGTTACCATGCATGACACGATAACACAAGACAACATACTTTTCATATGGTTATCAAAAAAATAATATTCAATATTTCAGAATATCATTATATTATGTGTACATAATACTTTTGAGTCTTCTTGTTTGGTTTATTTCACTTTTAAAAAATTGAATTTTTTATTTTTTGTATTATTTTGTAAAACTTTGGTTCAGTAGTAAAATCTTAGTCTAATAATCTTGAGATTATGGGTTCAAGTCACGAAACAATCACTTTGTACACTATGTCAAAGGTTATGTGTGTATCTAATTTTTTTCCTCCCAAACATACATTAATATGTACTAATTGGGTATTGTTTTTTTATTTTGATTCTACTGCTTTTTAAAATATTTTACGTAAAATTTTTATATTTTAGATATAACTAATCTAGATATACTTAAAAAATATAATACTTGTGAAAAAAAAACTTTAAAAAAATTATCAAATACAAAAAAAAACAAAAATTCAATATACTTTCTTATTTTGTTGTATTCAATGATTTTTTTTAAAGATTTTTGTACTTTTTTAAGTATATTAAAATTAAGTGAATATAAAAAGTTAAAAAAATTATTTAAAATTTAAAAAAAAATATTAAAAATACATAAATAAGTATTGAGTTTTTAAAAAACTATTTTTTAAAACTCCAAACCAAACAGATGAGGTTTTGTTAAAAATAAAATGAAAAAAAAGAAGATGGGGTTGGTTTGATCTCGCACCCAACTTATTAAGCTAGGTCATGTCGGTGTCACTTACCCTATTATTATCAATATTCTTACTGGTTTGGTTGTAAATGTAATAATGATATTGCATGTTATATCACCATTGAATGAGAAAACTCATTTTTAGATAGGTACTACAATATGTTGAGTTAATGAGAAAGAAGTCAGGACTTTGTTAGCATTAGAAAAGTTAGAGATCGTGAAATTTTTTCATGAAAATGATCATGAAAGAGTTATGATCATTGAATTACCTTGATTAGTGTGTGGTGCTTTATTCTAAGTGTAATTCAAGGGGTACAAAACTTTCATGATTATTTTCATGAAGGGTTTTTTATGATATCTAGCATTGCTATATTAGCATTACCCTCAATATATTTTTCCAGTCTCAACCCCCAATCCAAGATATCCAAAATAAACTTGTTATTGTATCCTCTAAAATTCCCAAAGTTAACCTTTATTCCAATTTCATAACTTTGATATGGGAAATGAAGTTAGACTACATTTCCATCTTCTCCTAATCTTTTCCCCACAATGCATCCCAATCTTCTGCATTGTCCCCTTCTCTTCCTCTTCATCTCTGTACTAACTTCAATCAATATTCATTCTTCTCTATCTGCCACTGCCAACGACATACGATACTTAAACTGTAGCCAATCCTTCACCTGTGGGAACATCCAAAACATCATGTACCCATTCTGGGAAGCGAACCGCGCAGACTACTGCGGCCTACCTGGATTCGAGCTGGACTGCGAAAACAACATCCCAACTATCACAATGGCCTCGGAAAAGTACAGAATTCTACAAATCAACACCCAGCAGCGAGCTATAACTGTTGCTAGAGACGATTTATGGAACGGTATGTGTCCTGCAGGCTTGGTTAACACCACACTCAATTTCGAACTCTTCCGCTACGGATTTGGGCTTAGAAATCTAACACTGTTCTATGGTTGTAATTTTCCCTCGGGAAATGTTCCCTGGTTTACAAGTCAGTATAATTGCAGCACTAATGGTACTAATGTCAGCGTTTACTGTGTGTCGAGAAGTTCTGCGAGTGGACCGTACTATCAGAACTGCAATGGCTCTGTTGTTGTTCCTGTTTTTGAAAGCGCTGCTCAGGCGCTCGATGCCAACATGACGACTGTCAGTGGAGCTGTGGATGCTGGTTTCGAATTGTTCTGGAGTCCGGTTAACGATCAGTGCATCACATGTATGGAGTCTGGTGGGGTGTGTGGGTACAATTGGAAACAGAGTGAATTCACTTGCTTTTGCTATGATCAGCCTAACCAAGATGCATGTCCAACTAGGCCAGGTATGGATCTAGCTCTTCTTTTTTTGTGATGGTTATGTGCTAGAAATTGAAATCTTGCTATCTACCTAATTATATAGGGGCCAGGCCACAATGCCATCTCTAGTTATTCTTAAGAAAGTCACTGTTTGCTGCTGAACTAATTAGGGTCAGATGACCTCTTTGTGGCACACTACTTCCATTCTGCTAGAGAAAATGTTCTCGGAAGTTTCATTTTTCAAAAAAACTTAATGGGCTCAACAGCTTACAACTCAATTTATAGCAATATTGTTAGGTGACCAAGCCACAATCAACACTCCAAATCGAGTCAAGACTACATAAAGTTGAAAAAATTGCAAAAAGTAACAAACTTGAGTTAGGCTCAAATTTGAGATCTAGAATATAATAGAAATTTTTCCTACAAAAAAAATTGACTCAAAACAGATCTATTTAGATCCTGAAATTAAACATTGAAAATCTTTTCGAATATATTAATTTCCTAATTCAAACGCGTATACAATTGAATTGGCCCAAAATGTAGCATGGGCCACTACATAGCTATGTGTTGAACTTGATAGGCCGTTTCAAATATGCATCTTTTAAGCCTGATTCAACAACATTAGAAAATTAGAAAAATTACCATTTTTGCCATCAAACAGCCAAACTGCTCCATTGTTTTCCATCATTACTACATCACCTACCATGGTGCTTAGGAATTTATAAGAGCTGCTACAATGGATAGCAACATCAATTTTAGAACTGAAGTTTTCTAGAGGCTGAGATGTTTCATTTACCCAGAATTTTAATATTTATTGGTACCCTTTCAGTTCCAACGTAATAAAAGCTTGGGCCATAAAATCAACATGGCATCGTAAATACTTCCAACAGAAGCTTCTTTTTCTTTGAGACTTCCACAAATTCACTAATTTGTCAATGCTCACTTTCTTCTTCTTATATGACGATTACTGACGAGAAATAAAAAACCACCCCCCACCCCCCAAAAAAAAAAAATCATCTACAAATCCCACTTTTCATTTGTGTCGTTTCAATTCAACTTTTGATAACTCATCTCTCTCTGTGTGCAAGATGAATCCCCATCTCTTCCCAATCTCTTGTCTTTCCTTCATGCTTCTTCTAATCTTAAGCCATATTCGATCTTCCACAGCGATTGATCAACAATATGCAAACTGCAATCAGCCTTTTCACTGTGGAAACATTCCAAACATAGGATATCCATTCTGGGGAGGCAGCAGACCAGAGTACTGTGGCCACCCGAGTTTCAGCCTAAACTGCCAAGCCGATGTCCCCCCAAAGATCACAATTCAGGCAAGAGATTACCTCGTCCTTGCCATCGATAACACAGCACAGACTCTTACGGTTGTTAGAGCCGAATTCTGGAACAATATTTGTCCCACCACATACCCCGATAACGCAACCTTAGATACTTCCCATTTCAACTATAGTTCAAACTCGGATGATCTGACATTGTACTATGGTTGCCCTGCAATTGTGGGTACTTTCAAATTTCCCAATTGGTTCGGTTGCGATGGAGGCAACACCGCCAGTTATTATCTTACGAGCAGCTTAGTACCTGGCTTCAACATTAATTTCGGAGCATGTATCACTAGCGTTGTTGTTCGAGTTAATCGAACAGTGTCTCTTTTTTTGTCAAACACTGCCTTTAATAAGTGTAGAAGCAGCTGTTGACAGTGGTTTTGGGTTAATGTGGAAGGCAAATGATAGTGAGTGTAGACGATGTGTCGGGTCTGGAGGGATATGTGGGTCAAACTCGGGTTCTTTTACTTGCTATTGTTCGGATCAACCCTATGCGGCTACTTGCAATCCAACTCGAAATAGACCCGGTATGTACCCAGTAATCTTGTTACTTTATTTAGTTTGTAGCACATATACATTATTTAGATGCTTATGGTCTGATTTTTCTTCATGGGGAGGATCAAATTAGTCTATGGGTTCCTCAAGAATCCAAGTTGAAGGGATAAACCTGATGAATGGAAATAAAATTTATAAAGTCACAATAAATCACATATTTTGGCATGGTTAGGCCCATAAAGGCCATAGCCCACTACGAACAACCCAAGTCCATCACTTAGAACCCAATACACAACCCAATTGATGAGATCCAGAAGAGCTGGAAACCAACATGACACGAAGGACCAATAACACCCAGGCACGCGGCAGGCAAAGGGCAAGCCACATCAGCAGACAAAAATCTGCAAAGTTATTGCCACTGCACATCGCCATTAATGCAACCCCTCACAGTATTTATTACAATAATACCTCTCCGTCGGGATAGCACGCCCTCATCCTGAACAAGGTAAGCTACAGCATAGACTTTTGACCAAGGTGACAGGTCGGAAGGGACAACAAAATGATTACCAAATGATATAAGCAGACATTAAAGACAAGAAGGAGGTTAAGCTTTCTATTTCTAATTCATATCTCTATATTCTACTTCTCTTTCTTTAACTTGCTCGTCAGAGGGTTCGTTGGGGGACACCCCGTTCCCCGTTGAACTCTTGTGCAGGTTCTCAAGTGGGCTTGACCACTCGGATATTGGCTCGAGAAGTGTAGGTCAGTCCGACCCGTTCTGCCAGGAACCCGCTGTATCATAACTGTATCATCAGTTGGCGTCGTCTGTGGGAACGCTTTGCTCCGCGGGCCAGTTGTGCTCATTGTCGCCGGAGACCTAATTCCAATAACCTTTTCCTGCTAGCCATCAACGTGTATGGTCACGACTAGATCCATGGCTTCTCACCAAAATGCTACCGACCATCAAGCCGACCCCCCCAATCCAAACAACCCACCACAGTATTTTATCGAGTTTACCAACAGCATCAACTGAATGGCCGAGCAAAACCAGGCCCTCATAAATGCTCTACTCCAAAGGGACCTTTCTATGCCTCCTCCACCACCTCCAGATATTCCCCTCAACCAAGAACGAGCCCCAAGCCATACTATCCCGCAGCCTTATCCACCTAACTTGGAAGGCCTGCAACCTCCTTCTCCTCATATAAATCCACCACCTCGACCCCCGCATCCATCGGTCCTGGCACCAAACCCTGAGGGGGAAACCAGTAGCGTCCAACCCCCGCTCCCTTCCGGTGGTGATAACATCCCTCTTTGGGATGCAGAACTCCGAGCCATGAAGCTCCAACTCCAAGGGGTTATGCAGAACATCCAGCATAAACCCTCTATCACAGCAAACTCACCATTTGTTGCCTCCATCCGAGACAAACCTCTACCCTCCAAGTTCAAAATGCCCACCATTGACTCTTTTAATGGCACGACGGACCCAGTCGACTATCTGGAGACCTACAGAACTCTCATGATCCTCCATGCATTCGTTGACGAGATCATGTGTAGAGCTTTCCTCGTGACACTAAAGGGGTCAGCTCGGCTGTGGTTTAGCCAGTTACCAGCAGACTCCGTCTCCACTTTCCAGAATCTCAGTGACTCCTTCATCAGTCATTTCATTGGAGCCCAGCGCCAGCGCCGTCCGGCAACCCAACTCTTCAACATCGGCCAGACCGAGGGGGAGTCCCTACGTAGTTTCGTCACCCGCTTCAACACCGAAGCCTTGCAGGTGGCGAAAAACGATGATAAGATCATCCTTACGGCTTTCATGGCCGGTCTGCGGTAGTCTGACTTCCTGTTCTCCCTCTCTAAAAACCCCCCGACCTCCATGGCAGCCCTACTCTCCAAAGCCCAAAAATACATGAATGTAGAGGATTCCCTAACCGCCCGGCAAGATCCAATAGCCAAAAACCCGACCCCTAGAGAAAAGAGAAAAGACTCAGAACCCAGAAACATCCAGTATAATAGCCAAACACCACACTATACCGACCGACCCACCCGAGCTGACCGGTCGGCACCAGCCCAACCGACCAGTCGATTCAAGCGGTATACACCCCTTAATTTTTCCATGGAACAAGTCCTCAATCAGATCCAGCGGGACTACCCCCTCAAATGACCCCAACCTTCATGAACCTCTTCCAATCGGAAAGACCAGTCCAAATATTATCGTTTTCACCAGAACCATGGCCATAACACCGATGAGTGCGTTAACCTCAAAGATCAGGTCGAGATCCTAATACGTCAGGGACGTTTTAGCCGGTTCACGGACACCCGCCCTCAGCAGAGGCAAAGAACTGAGCCCCTCAGAAACAACCGCCAGCGCACCCCCCCGGCAGCCAGCCCAACCTAACCAAGGCCATGATCGCCCTCCACAGTAACCTCGGCCGCCAGGCAATCCCCCCCCCCACCTGTTGGAGAAATCAGAGTCATTTCAGGCGTCCTTGCTTGCGGGGGACCATCCCGTTCGGCTTAGAGGGCAGAACTCAGAAAGAAAGTCCTCAATCAGATCCAGCGGGACTACCCCCTCAAATGGCCCCAACCTTCACGAACCCCTTCCAATCGGAAAGACCAGTCCAAATATTATCGTTTTCACCAGAACCATGGCCATAACACCGATAAGTGCGTTAACCTCAAAGATCAGGTCGAGATCCTAATACGTCAGGGACATTTTAGCCGGTTCACGGACACCCGCCCTCAGCAGAGGCAAAGAACTGAGCCCCTCAGAAACAACCGCCAGCGCACCCCCCGGGCAGCCAGCCCAACCTAACCAAGGCCATGATCGCCCTCCACAGTAACCTCGGCCGCCAGGCAATCCCCCCCCACCTGTTGGAGAAATCAGAGTCATTTCAGGCGTCCTTGCTTGCGGGGGACCATCCCGTTCGGCTTAGAGGGCAGAACTCAGAAAGATAAGACAGGGCTCAGACAAAGCAGTAGCCACGGTCGACCGACCCTCTAAACAGCCCAAGTAGTGGACCGAGCCTATCACCTTCACGAACACCGACTGTACAAGCATCTGTTACCCTCATGATGACCCTCTCGTCATTTCTGCCTTCCTCTTCAACTACAAGGTTAGACAAGTTCTCATCGACAACGGCAGTTCTTCAGACTTCATCTTTCTCAACTGCTTTCGCCAGCTCAAAATTGGGAAGGAAAGTCTGTCTCCTCTCCAAACCCCTTTGGTCGGTTTCACTGGCGACCGGGTGACCTCCATCGGCTCCATCGATCTTCCCATCACAATCGGTGAGTACCCACGGCAGACTACAAAGTTGCTCACTTTCCTTGTTGTCGACTGCCCATCCGCCTACAACATCATCCTTGGCCGCACCGCCCTAAATGCCTTTCAAGTTATCACATCAACTTATCACCTTGCCATTAAGTTTCCCACTGATCTGGGGGTCGGGACTGTAAGGGGAGAGCAGACCGTAGCCAGGGAATGCTATGTCGCCTCACTCAAAGAAGTCAAGCTGAAGGAGACCATGATCATTAAAGGACTTGACGTCCGGAATGAGGATGAGCTGGTCAGAGGGGAACCTGTGGAGGAGCTCGTTGAGGTTCCCATCGACCCCACTAACCCGGCAAAAATTGCCAAAATCGGCAGCCAACTGTCCCCCCGAGCAAAGGCCGACCTTACTGCCTTCCTGATCGAGCACAACGATATATTTGCCTAGACCCACTCAGACATGTCGGGTATTGACCCGTCATTCATAACCCATCGCTTTAGCATTGAACCCCATTTCTGACCTTACCGCCAGAAACAACGCATTTTTCATCTGGAGCGCAATACCCTCATTGCCGCAGAGGTCGGCAAGCTCCTTGAGGCACAATTCATCAAGAACGTGGACTACCCTAGATGGTTGTCAAACGTGGTCCTGGTCCGCAAGAACAATGGTAAATGGCGACTCTGTGTCTACTACTCAGACCTCAACCAAGCTTGTCCCAAAGACAGTTATATCCTTCCTCGCATAGATCTGCTGGTCGACGGCACAGCCGGTCACCAAATGCTCAGCTTCATGGATGCCTTCTCTGGGTACAACCAAATTCTGATGCACCCATCCGATCGGAAACACACCTCCTTCATTACCAACCGAGGCACCTACTATTATCTCGTGATGCCATTTGTACTGAAAAATGCTGGGGCCACCTACCAACGGTTGGTCAACGTTATTTTCCATCATCAGATCAGTTAAAACATGGAAGTATATGTCAACGACATGCTAGTCAAGAGCAAACTCTCCGCTGACCATCTGACCGACCTGCGAGAGACCTTCGCCACCCTATGGAAGTACCAAATGAAGCTCAACTCGAAGAAGTGCGCCTTCGGTGTAAGATCTGGGAAGTTCTTGGGTTTCATGGTTAGTCAATGAGGCATTGAAGCTAATCTTGAAAAGATCAAGGCCTTGATTGAAATGCAGTCACCAGAACGGTTAAGGAAGTTCAGAGACTCACTGGCCGAGTTGCCGCCCTCAACCGTTTCATTTCCCGCGCAATGGATAGGTGCCTCCCCTTCTTCAAAGTTCTTCGGCAAACTTTTGAATAGACGACCGAGTCCGAAGAGGCCTTTCAGCAGTTGAAGCAGTGCATGGCCAACCCCCCCTCCTTTCTCAGGCAATCATTGGCGAACCCCTTTTCCTTTACTTAGCCGTTTCAAGCACCGCAATCAGTGCAGCTCTTATCAAGGAAGACGACTCTATTAAGCGGCCGGTCTATTACATCAGTCGGGCCCTCAGGAGCGCCGAGCAGAATTACCTACTGTTAGAAAAATTGTCCTTGGCCTTGGTCACCGCCTTCAGACGACTCCGTCCTTACTTCCAAGCCCATTCCATAGTGGTCATCACTGACCAACCTTTGAAGAAGATAATGTA